AGAAATGACAAACAACAAGCGCTACTCTACACTGCTCAAAACTCGCGTTTGAATCGTCAGTGGCAAATCCTTTAACTATGAAAACGTACTTACAGTCTGTGACTACAGTTGAGTCTACTCTACCAGGATCAGGAAACAATCCTCCATAAAATGCGCTGGACACAAATGAATATTTGGTGCTTATTAATATTTAATAAGTTAGCTGTTATGTTTAGGTATGGTTCGGATTAAGCAAGTAGAATATGGTCATGCAGAATATGTGCTTTATAAGTACTAATAAACAGCCATTATGCTAGTAATATGCATACTAATAAGGGACTAGTTAATAGTGAGAATTGGTCCCTATACTAAAGTGTTACCAATTTTTTTTCTAACAAAGTTATTGTTAAAAACGAGTTCCCCTAAGGAGAAAATTAGTAGGATTTTTACTTTCGGAACTGTCATGTTGACTTGATTTAGTATTTCTTTCTTTTTAACATTGCAGTTTTAAAAGAATTAGATTGTATTTGTTAATTTTCTCTGTATAAACTAGAAACTTCTATGAGTGAGTGAGCGAGTAATCATATTTTTAATGTCAATTGTCGGCTATTCATTTCAAGGCTTTCTCCTCTGGTTGTTCTACATAAGTTTTCCCTCTCACCCTCTAAAGCTCATAACACACACACACACACACAAATGAGTGTTTGTTTGAGATCCGTTGGTTCATAACAGCCGCTCTGCCTGTAGTAGTAGGCCAGCAGCTATGATTCAGCATTTACTGGAGCAGGAAAAGTCACAAGTCGATCGGATCTGCAGACGTTGTCGGGTTTCGTTTCCAAACATTTGTGCATTGCTTAGTTCCCTAAAATATTGCATTACTAATTTCATCCTGCTGAGCACAATGGAATTTTTGGTAATGCTATTACGGACCACCGTATGCGTTGTCATGTAGACTTTCATACAAACATATATGCATGCGTGTGTGTTTATATCCACGTGAGAGTGCTTGTTTGTGCAAAGGCGACCTGATCCCGTGTGTATTCCTTTCAAACATTCCCACTGTGGGTTAATTTACCCCTAGTTGCCCCTGGGAGACCAGTCATCGCCATGGTAATCCCTCAAATTGATTGTAAATAGTCAGATGGGGGGGGGATTCATAATCCTCTTTGCTTGTATCCTGGTTAAAAGTTAAGCTGAGGTCATATGTACATTATAACTACATGCAATACTACAGACTTCACTATTATGATCACAACCGAGTATTTTGGTTGAAACCATGAGGAATGTGTCAGTTCAGCTTTGAGGTATTGCGGTGACATCGTGACCTCGATTTCCGGAGCTGTTTTAATCACAGAGAGTGACTGTTCAGGGCAGAGCCGCGGATTGATTTGCCTTGATCCGTATCAGGCTGAAAAACAGCGTCGCTCTGGGAGCTGCTGACGGAATGCTGCCGGTGGGGGCAGGAAATGGGGCCTCCCCGCTGGAGCCCGTGGGTCAAGGCCAAGGTCGCGCAGCCCTCTGGCGCGTGGAGTCTTGTGATCTGTGTGTGAAATGTGATTGGCTCTGCTTTTCCCTCCCTTGCGACATGGCCCAGGACATGCCCCGAAATGTTGTTTAGTGTCTGCTTGTGCAGCTCTGCTAAACGTCACCCTGAATAAATATTTATTCGTCTTCAAGCCAAAGTTTTAATGGAATAGGAAAAGGATTATAAATATATATAAGCGTATTTAAATTTCAGCTTTGGAAAAGGAGCCCTCGGTGAAGGTGAATGAAAAACAGCCCTTTCCCAGTCAGCACTACTGTCACGGCTCTTTCCTGCGCAACCTTCCTGAGAGAGACGTCAATAAATCTAAGCCGGCATGTGAATACATTTATTTTTTTTTAGTCTACAAGCACTTGAAACACAGTCATTGTGGTGTAGCAGATCAAAGGTTTGGGGTCAGTAAGATTTGTTTTTTTTATATTCATCGGTGACAGTGAATGCATTTATAATTTTACAAAATATTTCTGCTTCAAATAAAGCTGTTCTTTTGAACTTTCTATTCTATTCATCAAGTAATCCTGAAAAAATGTTTCATGGTTTCCACAAAAAAATAAAAATATTAAGCAGCACAACTGTTTTCAACATTGATAATATTAATAAGAAATGTTTCTTGTGCAGCAAATCAGCCTATATGATTTCTGAAGGATCATGTGACACTGAAGACTGGAGTAATGATGCTGAAAATTCAGCTTTGCATCACAGGAATCAATTACATTTTAAAATATATTAAAATACAAAACAGTTGTTTTAAATTGTAATTATATTTCACAATTTTACTGATTTTACTGTATTTTCGGTCAAATAAATGCAGTTTTGGTGAGACTTCTTTTAAAAATATAAAAAATTCTTAACAACCCCAAACATTTGAACAGTAGTTCAGTTTGTGTTCTAGATGTCTTACTGTGGAGATTGTGTGGGAGATTTGGGTTCGAGTCCCATGTTTTGTCGAATTAAAAAAATAGTTTTTGAATTCTTCAATGAAAAATTGGTGGAATCCCAAATAATAAAGAAAACATTGACTGTGTTCACAGTAGCATGATAGTATACTAATACTGTTTCTGCAATAGGAAAAATGTGTATTTTTTCATACTGTTATGTGTATGTCTTGTATGCATTGAATGCTCGTATGACCTGGCTACAACATTTGACAAATGTAAACTGCACTGGGTACGGTATCCCGCAATGCTTTATTTCCATTTTTAGTGTCACATATATGCCAGATAAATAAACCATTTTGTTACTTTCTTGACTTATTATTTAGTTAGACTTTAAAAAAAAATGTTATTCAAAATGTAATGGCAAGTATAAAATACTGGACACAACATTGTGAATGATATGTACAGCGTGATGATTTCATGTGCACAACAATGAAGCATAGTACTGTTTGAAATGTTAATAGCGTAATTTGTACAGTCTATATAATTTGTACATGCTATTTTTGAAATAGTGTATAAAATGTATGAAACTGTATGAAAAATGCATACATAATCATTCACCAGTGTTTATCCCTTTGTTCACTACACTATTAATGACGAGTTACTTTTCTCTCTCACACACACACACAGGTTTGTTTTTGTGAAAAGTGGGGACATCCCTTAGGCGTAATGGTTTTTATACTGTACAGACCGTATATTCTATTGCCCTACACCAACCCTACCCCTAAACCTGTGATTTATAAGCGTTTTGAAAAGTGGGGACATGGGGTAATGTCCTGAAAAGTCACCTTCTCCTTGTAATACCTATGTCATACCCTTGTCATTATACAAATTTATGTCCTCATTTGTCACAAAAACGCGCACACACACACACACACACACACACACACGTGCATGCTAGACAAGCGTTTCCTTTGAACCGTGTTGATTTGTGTGCTGTAATAACAGGTTTCTCAATCCTCGTCTGTCACAGAGTGACCCTCTAAAGCACCTGGGCTGTCGGCATCAAGTGTCTATTGATGATTCTGTCACAAGTGACTCTTTGTTTCTGAATTAAATGCATCTCAAACAGACTTCGAGAGCTCTTTTAGGTGGTGTTATTTTTTTTCTCAGCTCAGGGATTATGGTAGATCTTGTGTTTCATGTCCTGCAGGTCATGAATTCCTGTGCTGTTGTGTCATTTGACACATTGACTGACTCGTGAGCTGAGCCCGTGCTAACTTCTCTCTTTTTCTCTGTCTGTATGCAGATATGGTAAAATCGTGTCCACCAAAGCCATTCTTGACAAGACTACAGGCAAATGCAAAGGTTTGTCATGTTATTTTATTTTTACACTTTTTATTCCTATAATTAACATTCTCATATACAGTATATACACAAAATACAATAATCCAAAATACATCAAAACCTTCAAAAAAAAAAAAAAATATATATTATTTTATTTTTTTTGCCATTTTCTTAATTGACTTGAGATGGGCAAGTGTAACAAAGTTCCTTTGTGAAAAGTACCCTAGTAATACCATGTTTCTTTGACACATTAATTGGTTAATTGGTATTAACATGGTATTCTTTTGAAACGGTACCTTATACACTACCGTTTAAAAGTTTGGGGTCATTGAGATTTTTTAAATGTTTTTGGAAGTCTCTTATGCTCACCAAGGCTGCATTTTATTTGATCAATATACAGTGAAAACAATAATATCGTGAAATACTATTACAATTTAAAATAACTTTTCTATTTTAATATATTTTAAAATGTAATTTAATTCTCTGAATTTTCATATGTCTTCAGTGTCATATGATCCTGCAGAAATCATTCTAATATGTTGAAAACAGTTGTGCTGCTTAATATTTTACATTTTTGATTATTAGGATTATTTGATGAATAGAAAATTCAAAAGAACAACTTTTATTTGAAATATAAATCCTTATTTAAAATGTCTTTACTGTCATTTTTGATCATTTTTAAAGTGTCTTTGCTAAATAAAAAGTATTAAATTCTTATCTGTGAATGAAATGTATTGTTTGCACATTGAAGAAAATAAAAAGTATGAATCATAAAAAAAGCATTTAATTCTTAAAAAAAAAAATACAAATACAAAAGCAAAAGACAACAACAACAAATATAAAATCTTACCCTAACATTTGATCAGTAGTGAAAATACTATGGTACATGAATATGATAATCATTTAATAATATTGTGTATGTCTAAGTACTGAATGAAATTTGTGTGTGTGTGTTATCATTTTATCACAATACCATCACTAACCGATTTTAAAAACCACTTAAAAATTAACCGGTAACGTAATGGTGTGACATGAGAGTTGTTATTTAAAGATGAGTGTTTGGTCTAGTGGTTAGTTGTAGATTAGATAGTGTGTGTGTGGTAATGCATTGTGTTTTCTTCGTAGGATATGGTTTTGTGGATTTTGACAGTCCCGTGTCTGCGCAAAAAGCCGTCGCGGGACTAAAAACCAATGGAGTTCAGGCTCAAATGGCCAAGGTGAGTCAACCACTGATGACATCACTTCCTTTTCCCAAGTAGCTGGTTCATGACCTGTCTGTTAGGACGATTCAGGAATTGTTGATCTAATAAAATTTAACCTCTGGTGTCTTTTCATGTGCATTTCTCCCTCGTTTCCTTTCGTCCTTTCCTCATCTAGCCACAGACACACACATTTCCTGTGTATCTTTGTGCCTCAGAGAAGTATGTAACAATCCTGCAGTGACCTTCTCCTAGGCTCTGCTGGGCGTTTCTGCCTGCATCTTCAATTTTTAATCTGCCCTCTTTTTCCTCTTCCTCCCTACTGTCAGCATATTACTCTTCCACTTCCCCGTTACTGGTTTGTGTGTGTTTGTGTTTGTGTGTGTTTGTGTTTGTGTTTGTGTGTGTTTGTGTTTGTGTGTGTGTGTGTGTGTCCTGTGTCCGCACAAAAAGCCGTCGCAGCACTAAAGACCAATGGAGTTCAGGCTCAAATGGCCAAGGTGAGTCATCCATTTGTGACATCACTTCCTTTTTTATAAGTAACTTGTCCATGACCTGTCTGCTAGGATGATTCAGGAAATGTTGATGTAAAACATTAAAATTTAACCTCTGGTGTCTTTTCATGTGCATTTCTTCCTCGTTTCCTCTCTTCCTTTTCTTGTCCAGTCACACACACACATGCATTTCCTTTGTATCTTTGTGCCTCAGAGAAGTATGTTTGTTACAATCCTGCAGTGACCTTCTCCTAGGCTCTGCTGGGCGTTTCTGCCTGCATCTTCAGTTTTTAATCTGCCCTCTTTTTCCTCTTCCTCCCTACTGTCAGCATATTACTCTTCCACTTCCCCATTACTTGTGTGTGTTTACTGTGTAAACATGTCTGATGCATACATGTTGAGGAATGTTGACGTCTTATCTTGGCCCGCCCTCATTTCTGCTGAGACATCTAGAATTTCGAGCTGAGATTCTGCCTTCAGCCAATCAAAGTCAGATTGTAGTGTATCGTGTGTCCTTGTTAGCTGAGAGACGAGTACAATTATATTGTGGCTTCACAAAGTCCTCAAGCACCACATCACAGCACAGACAGAGAGTATAAAGCCTGAAGGTCTCACCTTTGCAACACTGAACATGTGATTCCAGTGGAAAAAATTAATGAATGGATGGTGTTGCTTTATAGTTATAGAAGAGGAATTATAGGAATAGAAGAGAAATGTGCTCAATTAATCTGCTCAATCCGTTTCAGTCTATCTCAAGTTCAAGTGCACTGAAAAATACAGGTTTCTCCCTGTTGAAAAAAACAGCATATGCTGGTTAGGTATGTTTCAAATAGCGGGGTTAAGTTAGTTTTGTTTTCGATATTCGTGACACATTCAGAGATAAACGGCAATAACTCCAAAACGACTTGCCCTAAAAAAAATCTAAACAATGTGACCGCCAAAACGATGCATCGCGATATAAATGCGAACTTGTAGCCGATGCACACTTTTTAAACCGATGCATCGCATCGTTAACTTTTTATGCCGATGCACCGAGCGAATCGGGGAATCTTCCCACCCCCCTAGTAAGTGCCACTGACCGGCTTCAACCCTATTGGTTGTTGTTTCTGAAATCACACTATATAGACGATCACACATAAAGTTGCTGGACACACTTACATCCTGTCACCAACAGTCACTATTGCTTGTGTCATTAGAAATTGCCAGATCTCTGTTGAAATGAATCGGGATGGCAAAACTAGAGCCTTCAAAATTTATATAAATAGTACGCCAAATAAAAACGAAAACTCGTGATATTGATACGCAAAAATTGACTTTGCCGTGTATATGCTACGCACGTGTTTGGCGTGCATATGATACGCAGTTTTCGCGTACATATGATACGCATCTACCCCACAACCCTAATCCTACTCATTGCGTAGCATATACACGCCAAAGTCCATTTTTGCGTATCAATTCCACGAGTTTTAATTTTTATTTGGCGTACTATTTATACGCACTTTAATGAGATCGGGTTGCAAAACTATCAGAGTGCTCTCAAAAAGCACTCTTCATTATTGTAGATGCAACTTACGAAGGTACATTTACATTATTGGCAGAAAACTGATGCAAACTGCAAATAAGGTTTGGGTTTTAGAGTTCAATGTAACTGTTGAATCTAAAGTACTGTCCCACATCTTATTTATTCTAATTCCTTCACAATCCACCCCAGTCCGCAACCTGTTTTAACAGCCTGTCAGTAAACAAACTAATTTATTTATTTATGTCCACTATGTCACTAGCTAGTCATCTTCATCGCTGTAACGTTTCACTGAGCAAGATGGCTTTCTGCAAACTTTTGGATGCTGTCTCACTTTTTAGCTGCTAACTTGTCAATTAAAGCCTATATGGTGTTTTGGTCGATTTCTGTTATAGTCCTCTCTTTTACTCGGGCCTTGTTTTGTAAGATTTAATCTTGCCTGATTCTTCAGGGGTCTGTACTGAACTGAAATTAAATTAAAATAAAATAAACAAACTTCTAGCCATCATTTAGTCAATCTCATGTCATTCAAAACTAATATGACACCAAAGGAGGCATGAAGAAGAAACTCGCAGCAGTGTAATTCAGACAAATCACCACAGGAGCCCTGTTGAAAAAAACAGCATATGCTGGTTTTTTTCAACAGGGCTGAGTTTAAACTTATTCAGACAACTTGCTTCTTAATTAATTGGACTGTAGGGAATGATGTATGAATACATTATTGTAATATCTTTTACATAATCAGAATTTCCGTTAATCCTTCAGTGGTAATGTTAGGTAAAATAGCAGGTTAATCAGCTAGGCATATGCTAATCATTTAACACTAGCATCCCTTATGAAAATTAACCATTGTTTTACTACAAATAAAACCAATAAAATCATGGTTACTATAGTTAAACCATAACCACAAATTACCCTTGCTTTTGCTACACTAGCCATAGTTTAACCATGGTATTTGTAGTAAAACTGTGGTCATACAAATGGTAATCAATATGCCAAAAAACATGGTTGCTACACTGTTACTATAACAAAACCACGGTTAATTTTCGTAAGGGGTTAAACAACATTACAATCCATGAATGCACTGTACTTCAATCCCTCAACCTCGTTTTCATTCCGGTCAAAAAAATATATATGGCGTTACCGTTAACATGATGAATTGACATTTTTTAGCTACTATACTGACTTAAACAAGGTTTTAGGTCGTGAATGATAAATCAGCACATGAAATCACCTCCCATTACAACCCGTCGCCTGAGGTGTTGATTATAATGGGAGCGATTTAGTTCCATAACTGCATCTTAAATCAGTCAGATTAGGTTTGTAGGTCTCATCTGGTCTCCCAGACTGGTTAAGCTCAGAATTTGTCATTCATTAGTTTTTCAGTTTGGCTCTAGGTCTCATTACTAGTAGCACCATGACCTGAAATGGAGCGAGTCCAGAGAAACACCTAAAATGTACAAATCTGATGGGCTGAGGACAAAAATGATAGAAATAGCTGAAAAACATCAACAAGGAACAAGATTGCTAATGTTGGATTTACCAACTGTCAGAATGCAGTGAATAATAAAGACTCAAATTGTAATGGTTTTGACACTAGACAAACAGATTTTGGTTCCAATAGCCTAAGCATAAGAGAAAACAAAACAAATGTTCATTAATTCCATGCTTTTTACCAGAGGACAGATGGATGGATAGATAGATCCCTGACTTTAAACGTGTCATGACCTGCGTTTTTTTATTGTAATGACTGCTTTGCAAGCATTATGAAAACACTGCTAAAAACAAGACGATCACAGGATTGACTTTTACAAGGCTTGTTGAATCATAATCTTCAATGAGCCTTGCAAAATGTTGACATTTATGCTTTAATGTAGATGCTTTCTCATCAAAGACGCTTATTATACAGAAATATGTCGGACTTTTCAAATGGTAATCAATACGCCAAAAAAACATGGTTACTACACTTTTGCTATAATAAAACCATGGGATGCTAATCACCTAGCCCTGTAATAGCTTGTAAAATAACTAGGGGAAAAAAAACAATGAACAATGCTTAATTTGACCATTTATAGTTGTAGTTAATATACTGTGATATGTGACTTCTTGTCAAGGTTAACACTAAATACATTGATTTTCTGTCATTTTTTAGGGCACAGATAGCTAAGCTAGCATGCTAATAAGTCAGAATGACAATGGTTTAATTTGACCATTTACAGTTTCTTTAATATAATTTGATATATGATGTAATTTGAATACATTATGTTTAGGAATATATACATCTCAAAATGGTTTTCTATCTTTTTTCATTTTTAAGGAACCAAATTAATCAGCCATGGTTAGCTATGATAAGCTTGCAGGTCAGCCGCTTAACCTAAGCTAGCAGGCTAGGCAAAGGTTAGCTTTTCAGCTAACTGGAAAAAAAAATAATATGGCAAATGTTTAATTTGACTATTTATACTTTCTTTAATATAATGTGATATGACGTAATTTTATTATATATCAACAGTATGTTAAGCTGGCAGGCTAATCGCCTAGCAGTATGCAAAAGTTATCTTTTAAGCTAACTGAAAAAACATATGACAAATGTTGCATTTGACCATTTGTAGTTTCTTTAATGTGATGTATGAAGTCATTGAAGTCATGAACAGCAGTATGCTAAGCTAGCAGGCTAATTCGTTTGCAGTATGCTACATAAACAGGCTAATTGCCTAACAGTATGTTAGCTTACAAGCTACATAGAACAACAAATGTTTACTTTGACCATTGACATGAAGTACATTTAAAATGATGTCATTGGACTCAGTCAGACCTCACAGTGACTTTTATCAGCTGAATAGACACATGAAGGGTGCTTGTAATACCTGTAATATTGTGCCATGTGTTTCGTGTTTTCTGAATACAGCAACAGGAGCAGGACCCGACTAACTTGTACCTGTCCAACCTGCCCGTGTCCATGGATGAGCAGGAGCTAGAGAACCTCCTCAAACCTTTTGGACTGGTCGTCTCCACCCGAATCCTCCGCGACACTAACGGAGTGAGTCGGGGAGTGGGCTTTGCCAGGTCAGTGAGATTTGGGTACTAATTTTGTGTGTGCGGCTATGTTCACATGTGAAATAGGGTCAGGTACGCTTTTTGTATGTGTGGATGTGTTGAGAAATGTTCTCTCTTTCTCTCGCTCTATTTTAAGAATGGAATCTACAGAGAAGTGCGATGCTGTGATCTCTCACTTCAACGGGAAGTTCATTAAGTCCTCCTCTGGGTTGCTGGGTGAGTGTTTAGCACAGTATTCTTGTGGTATTCTCTACAATGCATATAGTGTCTATATGTAGGCTAGAGACTATAGTCTGTGCTGTACAATGAATGAAATTTGTGTGTGTGTGTTACAGGTGCATCAGAGCCTTTGCTGTGTAAGTTTGCTGACGGCGGGCAGAAGAAGAGACAGAGTCAGGCTAAATACGTCCCCAACGGACGAACCTGGACTCGAGACGCCGAGGTGAGACTAGTAAGTCCTGTTTATAATTGTGTATGTGTGTGTGGCGCTGATGGCAGGTGAATGAATGGGTGTGTATTTGTGGCTTGAAGTGTAATGAGCCATTCCTACATGACATCATATGTCACACTTTGTTTGGTTTCGAACCATTGTTCTATAATTAAATCTAACTATGAACATATTTTAACTGTAAATTGTAAAGTAAAACTGCCTTTATGATGTGTATGAAACCAGAAATGCTCAACTTTTCTTTTACTTTCTTTAGAGCGGAATGACGTTGACCTATGACCCCAATACCGCACTTCAGAATGGGTAAGAACAGTTTGAACGTGTCTTAAATGGATCATTTATTTTCATAACATATAGTGTTAATTTCGTTAACGAAAAGTATGAAGAAAAATGTTGACAAGCTTTTTTTCCCATGATTAAGACGAGATGATGACGAGGCGACAATAAGGTCAAACAATGATAACTGTGACTATATCAACATGGAATATCGTTGACGATAAAAGACGAGACTAAAATGTATTTTAAAAAATAAAAACTATACCAAAATTTATTTTAATTTTCGGCAAAAAAATAGGAGACACAATATTATTGCGGACTGCTGTACATGTCTCTACTACATGAGCTTTAATTGGAGCAGTTGCCAGATATCAAGAGTTCAAATCAGAGCTTCTCTTTTAAAAGGATACATTTTCTGCCCGGTGTTTTGCTTATTTTTTGCAATCTGGCAACCATGTGCATGCGCTCGCTCTTCATTGCGGAAGCGCCGACTTTCATAATCTTATCTAAGTCTTTGATGTTAATTTATATATTAAATAGCCTATACTAAATCAGTACACTAGATGAGGTAAAATAAAACATGTGTATGAGTCCACATTCTATTGATTTGTGCTTATTGGTGAAAGTGCAATACCTGAAATGTAAAAATAAATAAATGTTGTTGTTTTTATCAGTTTAACTATTATACAGCATGACAAAAATGTGACGAAAAGTTTTCATTGACTAAAACTAGACTAAAATGCTCAGACATTTAATCGACTAAAACTTGACTAAACAAAAAACAGGACAAGGTTGACTAAATATGATAACTAAAAAGTAAATTTGACACAGGACTAAGACTAATTTAAAAAATGGCTGACAAAATTAACATTAATATATTGTTTACCATATTCTATGGAGTACTGCATGTGAAATGCAGAAAAAATTATTATCAGGGCCACAAATGAAACATTTGTCATGAATTCTGTCATTAGATTTAGTTAACTAGTGGCCATGTCGTACTAATCCATTTCCTTATTTTAGTTAAATCCTGGCCTTTAACTAAAACCAAACCAAAAACTGAAACTAAAATCTAATGCTCTGAAATAAAGACAAAGTCATTGTGAACATACTACATTCTAAAGGGAAATATGCTGCCTACATAGACAGCTGCCTACTAATTGACCTTAGCATGTTGCTAAGCTAAAGGAGCTTTTCTCTAATATACATAAAACACAATAATATTAGGTAATCTGGTTCATTATTAATTATACAGAACTATTTTAATAGATTCTCTTTGGTACTGAATGAAATTTAAGCGTACTTGTAACATTTCTCGACAACTTCATTATTTTGAGTGAATATTTCAATGAGCTAGTTCCAATGCGTTCTAGGATTGCCTTCCCCACAATGCTCAGATGTTTTTCGTACGTTGTGTAATTGCCATTAAATAATTAAAATGATGTTCAAATGTCATGTAGACACATAAAACACTCTATCCTGATGCTACAGGTACTATCCTGCTCCTTATGCCATGGGGAACCGGTTAATGACTCAGCCAGGAATGTCTCCATACATCTCTCCCATCTCTACATACCAGGTACTGCTTTTCATCATATACTTCGTCTTTACGGTCACGATGTGTTGATGTGAGTATTTCTGACCAACAACTGCTTCCTTGCTAACATCTGTGTTTGTGTCTCCAGGTACAGAATCCTTCATGGATGCCACATCAGCCTTACATCATGCAACACCCGGTACGGCCAAAATATTTTCTTTTCTTTTCTTTTCTCTCTCTGTATCTCTCCTTTTATTCACAACTCCTTCCAAACAGGAGATGATTACAAACAATGCCGCTTACATTAGTCAGAAACGTGTGTGTGTGTGTGTGTGTGTGTGTGTGTTCACACACACAGTATTTCCTGTTTTTGCCCGATTGTGGGCAGAATGTCTGTTGTTTAGTGCAGATGTATATTTATAGCTAGATTTATCACTCTTTCTCTGCAGTTGCCAAATGATTGTTGCACTGTTTTTTTGACTCAGGGAGCCGTTCTGTCGCCCTCTATGGAGCATCCTATGTCACTGCAGCAGTCCGCTATGTTGGCTCCCCTCACCCAGCAGATGGGCCATCTCTCTCTGGGCGGCACTGCAACCGTATGATCCTCTCACACAGATTGCACTAATATATGGCACAAGCGTATATGCTAATTAATAAGTAATATTAACACCTGTGTTTTTAATAAAGCCACATCATTCTGCTTTCCTGCAGTTTATTCCTGCCAACACAGCAATGCCAGGAGCCTACATCCCTCAATATGCCCACATTCAGCCCGCTGCCATCCCTCCTGAGGTCAGTCCCACACTTAGGTTATCAATGACATTTATACCACAGCCTGCTATCACTTAGGTTATCAATGACATTTATACCACAGCCTGCTATAGTCTTCTGAATTGTCTAGATGTCGGTACAGTTCTTGCTTAAAAAAGCTTTTCCTGTTTCCAGAGAATTTCTCTGAAGTCAAGTTTATTTTTATTATCAGACTGGGGTTTTTTTTTTTAGAATTGATTAAATTCTATGTATAAACCTTGCTAAATTTTTCATATTTCCAATAAAAAGTTTGAGGTTGGTGAGATTTTTTTTTAATATTTTTGATAGAAGGTTTTTATGCTCCCTCAGGCAACATTTATTTTAAATTCAAAAGTATACCAAAAAAAAAAAAAATTAATATTGTGAATATAATTTCAAATTTAATTTATTGCTTGATCCTTCAGTGATCATTCTAACTGGTGCTAAAGAAACATTTCTTATCAATGTTTTTCAGGATTCTTTGATTAATAGAAAGTTCAAAAGAACAGCATTTATTTGAAATATAATTTTTATGTAACATTGTCTTTACTCTCTTATTTGATCAATTTAATGCATTCTTGCTGAATAAAAGTAATAATTAAAAAAAAAAACTTACTGACCCCAAACTTGTAAATGGTAATGTATACTGGAAATATTATATTATATTATATCATATATTATATTGGAAAAAGATAAATATTAAGACAGATTACTAAGACTTTGTTTAGGAAAAATTCTCTTAATATCACACACAGTTTTGGCTCAAGCAGATTGGTCTTGTTGTGAGTATATTTAGATATATTTATCTGAAAACCACACAAAATTAAATCTTTTTGTATATTTGGTCAATGAAATTCAGATTTATAATTTCTGCCTATGGCCTTTTCAGCAGGAAAGCGGTGTACAGCCACAAGATGTGTCCTCTTCGGATCCTTCATCGTACCCTTTCCAACCAAACAAGCAATAAAACGGTATTTAATGATTATATTTTTATTATTGTAGGGGTCAGTGTTCTGTTTAATCACCCTCATGTTTTGCAAAATCCATATGACTTCCTTTCTTATTTGAATACAAAAGGAGAAGTTGTAGAATGTTGACGGTGCTCTTTTCTGTATAATAAAAGTAAATGTTGAGCTCCATAAATGACGAAAAAAATTACTAAAAATAGTAGCCTCATCGACGTCAAACCTGGTTCGATTTATGCAACATTTGAATGAGATTTTAGACCTACAGCAGCTTAAATTTAACACAAAGCTTCAGAAGTATAAAGCACATAAGTCATCGATATATCGGCCGATATTCGTTGTGTATATTATAGTACAGTACCAGTCAAAAGTTTGGACACTTTCCCATTCGTGTGTCCAAACATTTGACTGGTACTATATATAGTATACTGTATATACATAAACAGAATATATATACATAAACACATTTTTTGCAGTGATCACTCAAATGTGGTGATCAAACACTTCAAAGTTTCAGTGGTTTTCCATAGACTTAAGCTTTAAAGCGTTTTATCCAGGTCACCAGTAGCAAACAACGGAGCACGCTCTGCTGGACAAACTAAGTAATTACACCATTTCAAGCATTTTATCTGCGTTATATGTTCTGTAAAAAAATGTTCATATCGGCGGCATATTCGCCGATACCGATATATCGGCGACAGGCTCATATCGGCCGATAATATCGGCTAAATGATATATCGGTCGGGCTCTAATGCCAAGACACCACTTACATGTCTGTAGTGTTCAGTGTTTGACTAGTGCTGTTTTTTGTTACAGGTTTACCGTCTGACGTCAGAACCAGACACAGTCTGCTGAGTGTTACTACCGTAACAACGTTTGCTTTCTTTTAGAGGAAGCGACATCAAAGAGGAAATAATGCTCATGCATGGGTTGCAGAAAATTTGTCCATGATTTAATCATCTGCTTAGAAGAAATCAACAAGAAACCTCAGAAAACAAACATTTTCTCCAACAAACCAAGATAAGGCAATATTACACCAACTGTGGACGACAGAATGGGAGCAGAGTTTTATTTTGCTAGAAAAAGGAAGGAGATGACAAATGCTTATTTTTTACCAAGAACTATTAACACAGACCATGTCTGTGAGTAACATGAGTGATGATGATGGTGATGACATCTTTCGATGCATGACGGGGTTTTTTTTAAGTATGTTTTTATTGACTGTTTCTTAAACAGACAAAAGAAAAACTTTTTTGCGGTTGCAGTCGAAATGAAGAGGTTTCTGTTTGCTTTTTTGGTCTTCCACTCTGCCTTTTTAGTAGTTAAGAAATGTACCGTTTAAATAAGGTGGGTGGGGTTTAGAATGACTGATGCAATGCTTGCTGGCTATTGGCCCTTTCTCCTGTCTTTCAAAGCAAAGGCTTTCCTGTTTCCTTTTTTAATGTTGCTCTGAATCAAACCTGTTTGTTTCAGGGATCGTGTGTCTGTTGTGGAAGAATCTTCTTTCCATTGAATCCATGTGTAAAGTCTTTCAGTAGATGTAGAAGTGGATGTTGAGATGCGGGTGGGAGGGGTTTAGTGGGAGGCGGGGATGAGTGGGTGGGGTCAAGCTAGAGGTATGTGGGTGGGGCTAATAAAAGGGATATTGTGGATTTGGGAAAGCTGACATTGTTCCTTCTGTTCACAGGATGATTGCAATTTTATTTTCAGTGCCATTTTTTATTTATTGTATCTTTTTTTCTCTTTTTTTTAACACAATACATCAGGATTTTGTTTGATGCTCAGAAAAAAGGCAGAAGTGCAATGTTTCTTTAGGTAGAAAGCAAGTAAACTACAGATTTAACCAAACTGAATTGACATATTGGTAATGGTATTCGTTTTGTAAATTAAACCTACATTTGAGGCCCAACAGATAAATTTATAGACATACGATAGCACAGTTTTGCAAAAATACGTTCCAGAAGAGAAACACCACAATGTTTCTGAATAAGTAATGTAATTAAAACATTCATCCTTACAATTTAATACATAAATAAACATGCAACTTCAAGGCAACTATGACACTTTCCACCAAAGACCTTTTCTGCCTACTAATGAACACAATAGTATGGACTACAGCAATGGGTTTTGGTCAAACTGAATGGTAGTTTGTGTCTTTTTTCATCAATCTTGGCTCTCAGCTTTAATCTAGTTTTCATTAGTGTGGACACATGAACATCTCTAAGCAGTTGGATGGTTGTAAACAAGCCTTTCATCTGTCTGTCATACAGTTAGTTAAGCAGATTTCTGTGTGTCTGTGTGTGATTGTGAATTTAGATGTCCAGGTCAGCTTGGCCTTTGATCTACCTCAGAGTTGTATCTGTTGTCTGATTGGTCGGGCTGCAGGTCTATCCTGTCCAATCAGATGTAAAAGCGCCGGCTCAGGAGCTGGTGTCATGCAGAACTTCATCTTTAATGCGTCTATTTGTCCTCCTCTTTAATGAAACATCTATGTTTTGTATCTCTATGTCTTTCTGTTGTTTTTGTTTTTTTTGTTTTTACATTGCACTGTGTTGTTTTGAGCTTGATTGTGTGGAGAATTTCTTTATGATATTCTTCTTTTTGTCCATTTTCTTCCTTATATGTGACCCTGGACCACAAAACCAATCTTAAGTCGCTGGGTATATTTTTAGCAATAGCCAAAAAAAACATTGTATAGGTCAAAATGGTCGATTTTTCTTTTAAGTAAAGATCATGTTCCATGAAGATATTTTGTAAATTTCCTACCGTAAATATATCAAAACTTAATTTTGATTAGTAATGTGCATTGCTAAGAACTTCATTTGGACAACTTTAAAGGCGATTTTCTCAATATTTTGATTTTTTTTGCACCCATTGATTCCAGATTCTCAAATAGTTGTATCTCGGCCAAATATTGTCCTATCACAACAAACCATACATCAATGGAAAGCTTATTTATTCAGCTTTCAGATGATGTATAAATCTCAATTTCAAAAAATGTACCCTTATGACTGGTTTTGTGGTCCAGGGTCACATATTGTTCCTGCATTTGTTTGGTCTTTTTACAAAAATCCATATAAACTACCTTCTCTGGAAATTGTTTCAGTTTGCTGTAGCATCTCCATGTTTAGAGGCCTAATCTGAAGAACCAAAGTGAAATATTATCACGTGTGTCAAAAAGCAGCACATCGTAGTTTCATTGGAGAGATACAGTGTCTTTATTTCAGATGTCAAAATAAACGTTTCAAAACAGCAATCATTCACATAAACACACGACTGTTGTTGAAATACTGAATTTTTAAAATTGCTCTATTGAACACCTGCCACTTGCACGTCCAGAATTTGTTTGCTTTTATTTCTTTTCTTTTGTGAAAAGATTTTTTGAATTAAAAGAGCTCAAACCTGTGTTTTTAGGTTTGGTTTGTAATCCTGTGAAGGTTTTTTTTTTTCTCTGAGTAATTTCGTAGTAGCTTGTTGATGGAACAAACAGTAATTCTGTAGGAAATTCTTGATTGTCTTGAGTTAAGAATTTGAGACAATACAAAGAAAATATTTGCCATTTCATTTTGCAGCAGCTTTACACTCAAAAACAGCTTTATCGATTTATTATTATTTGTTACTATTATATGTTATTAAAGGGGTCATATGATGCGATTTCAATTTTTCCTTTCTCTTTGGAGTGTTACAAGCTCTTGGTGCAAGAAGGTCTGTAAAGTTGCAAAGACTAAAGTCTCAAATCCAAAGAGATATTCTTTTTAAAAGTTAAGAGTCAGCCACGCCTACCTAAAACGGCTCGTTCGAACACGCCCCCACATGTCTACGTCACGATGTGGGAAGATTTGCATAACGCCGCCCAAATGTTCACGCAAAGAAAGAAGGCGTGGAAAATAGTGTTTTTTTTTACCTTAAACCGCATAAACACATTTCATTACACCAAATACACAAAATAATGTTCTTTTTAGCAGCATCATATGACCCCTTTAAATAATGAATCTTCCAAACCATCTTTCAAACCATTTCTTTACCCAAATACATATTGATAAACCTATAATATAATTATATAGTATTTGAAAGCTAACTGGACAGACTTCGGGAAATTGCATTCAAGGCATTCGCAGTTGCGTATCACAGCAAATCTGTACACAGAGAAAAGTGTCTTTAAATTTTAAAAGTTGTTTTATTTTATATTTTATACTTAAAAATCTAGGTTTTTGCCATAATCTTATGTACAACTGAATACTTTAGCTGACAGGGCCCCCGTTGATGGGGTCTTTGTAATGCCAGCTAGCAGGGTTTTTATCCATAAAGCCAACAGATTATGTCGGTCTCTCTCATGCCATGTGGTTTAAATATTCAAATTTTCAAACATGCATCCATTCAATAAATCTCTTTCATTTCCCAACAAAATATAATCACCATTTGCTAAGTAAAACGTTTGGTATTAGTTTTGTCCTTTTGCTGGCAAATATTTTCCATCTTAGAATGATATAGCTATCCAAATTACATGTGTATCTAGTATAGGCCTATCTCCTATCTCCTAAACTCCGACTCATCTATCTTAACAAACATAATACAATGACAAATTTATCTAAAGACCAGGGTAAGCTACCACGTCACTACAACGTTCTTCATGGGGTTAATTAGCGACATCTTTTGACTACGTGCCCATGGCGTTTCTGGAACGTTAACCATTCTGAAAAATGGAATTTCCACGACATCTTCACAACGTTGTCATAAAGTAATGTCACCATGACCTATTCATAGTTTTCATGTGGCATCACAACCTTATATGAACTCCCACTTGGAGGGTAAAACGAGACCAGTGACTCACAGTTATTTTTTACAAGGTTTGTATGAAGTAGAAATGTATTAAGACAGTGATATTAAAAGGCCAAATTCAGTATACACTTTATTGATGATGCATAGGCCTAGTTTGTACAGGCAAGCAGATGAACCCAGAATATAAACGCAATGCGCAAAGTTTCACATTAAATGTTTGCGCGAAGAAAACCATTATATTTAACCGTTTAGCACATTGCATTCATATTCCAGGCTCATCTGCTTTCCTATATAAAGTATGCATCATCAATAAGGTGTGTACTGAATTTGATCTTTTAATATCACTGTTTCAATACATTAAGACACTTGAAGTGTTTTTCACATTAAAAGTGTCCTGCTGTTTTAGTCCCACTGTTTTGGGTGATCTAATCCTTTAAGGAAAGTTTTTGTCAAACATGTTTTAGTAAAAAAAGTTTTATTTAAAAAAAAAAAAACCCACAAACAGGTATTTGAAGCTGCTGGCATCTCTGGAGGCCCAAGAACCTCTTCATGCAGGCTGGCAGTTGTGCATAAGCTGCATTTGAGCCACCCTTAACCAAAGCTCACAGAAATAAACCTTTATTTTGTACTATCTGTTCCATGTACCCTTGAGGGAACTGCCCCAGTGACAAGCCATTGTACCCCTAGAGGTACAGTTTTACAAATTTTGTCTGACAGTGTGCCATAGCATTGAAGAAGTTTTTTCAAATATCAGCTGTCATTTTTTATCTGCATTCATATGTTTAGTACGCCCTATTAAACAACTGCTCTGTGCTCATAAACATTTGCTCTACATCCCCTTTTATCTGTAAAAAGAGCACGCTCATTAGAACAACAGTAGTGTTAGTGAGAAGACCCCATCTCCAGCCAACTGCAGGCTGTCAAGCTTCTACCTATCCATAGTGAGCTGCCAGAGGTGAGCTGTTCAAACAATTGGTTTGCTACATTTGAATTCAAAACATATTGCTTGAGTATGAACTATGAAGAAAACATAAGTTCTTAACTTGAAATAAATATGATGTTATGCAGGACTGCATCCACACTAACCGCTTCAGAAGGTGAATGGATCTAGCCTCAGTACTGGGGAACAAAACGGCGGAAGGTGAACCAACTCCAGGGCAAGGCTAAAAGCAGCCAAATGTATTAAACATCATAAACCCGTCTTTTTAGGCAAGAACCAGACATGGGTGCCATTTAGGCTAATAAAACATGTTTAATGGGACTGAATTTGTATTTAAAAAAATGTTTAATGGGACTGAATTAGTATTTAACGTGATTACAATTTAATAAAAACGTTAGAAATTGATCATTATATAACGTTTCCTTTCCACGGTTATTCAAACAGCGAATAAATTATATATAGAAAGTGACTTTATCACTAACATTGATCTATCGCGATTTTAAGCACTCTCAAAATAACTATTGTTATAATTACTGAAGCCGTATACACTGTGAAATGAATCTCTTACTTACATTGTACTTACATCTGCGCTTTGTTGTTTATGATGAGAGAATTCGCTGTGTGTGATTGGTTAAAATGCGCAACACTGTAAAATCGCCTAAAATGAC